AGGGAAAGAAATAGAAATTCATTTTCATTGTTATTGTTATCTCTTTGCTTTCTGCCAATCCAGAATACCTCGCAGTTTTTTAGATGGTGAAAGCAATAAGAAAAGCCAATTATATGTCACATCAACTACAATAGAAAGTAGTTCACCACTACTTAATGATTTAACTTAAATATGTTTATAAAGGCATGAAATATACCTGAAACTGAGCCCTTTTAAGCAAACCTGCATTTTCTGACATAAATAGGTTATTTCAGGGACTTAAAACATTGCTATTGTGTTCTCTTGTTTCAAAATAATTGATCCGTTTTGAAAGTGAAAAAACTATTGTACACATCTCAGTTTCTCGAATGGCCTATGTGATCAGATAACTGATCACCATTAAGAAAGTCAGTAAATTTTAGAGGCAGGAAGAGATAGGCAGGAAGAGTAAAAAGTGTGGGTGTATCAATCCTTCCAAGCATTTGCTTGCAATATTAAGATATTAGACAGTGAGAAAGTTACCTATCCACCAAAACCAAAGGAAGAAAATAGCCTGGATCTCTACAGAGAGATGGATCTCTACAAAGAGTGTGGTTATGGCTAGATCATAAGCCTAGAGAAGACAGATAGCAAACTGCAGAAGTGGGTAGGTCAAATAGCTGTTAAAAGTAGGATTTTGTGTGCATTCTGACTTTCAGCTTAGTTTTGAAAAGCAGTCACACCATAAATTCTTTGAAAAATATTTGCATGATCCTGATGAAAAATACATTTTCATTTACAGTAAGTGCCACCAGAAGTAGAAACTGTTACAGGCTCAACCTGAAAGTTTATTTCATGTCCTTTTTCTGTTTCCACAAAGTTCTAATTTACAGCTCATGTTTCCTCTGCTGACATATGCAGAACCTATGTCATGTCTGGAAGTACAGCCAAATTGCCTAAGATCTGGCTTTGTGTGTCACTATCTGAACTAGTGTGCATCTGCTTTTCGTATTTATAAATCTACATGGATGAATGCAGAATTTTCTTCCTCCTGTTCTGAGCCCCATTCTTTAAGCCAAATCTTTTTGAAACTGTCATCATACTTAAGGTGATATAAAGTGGCAGAGGTCTGCAGCTACAAGGACAGTGTAAATTTTTTTTTTACAGTACAATCAAGAGACGTCTTGGTCATTCTGCCTGAAAACGGGTGAGAATGAGCTAAATCAAAGTAAACCTGGGCATTCATGATAGTGCAGCTAACCTTGAAAACTTGCTTGTTGTATACAGATAGGTTTGTTAAAATTATCACTAGAGCTGTTATATTACACTCCCTGTTAATGTCAGCTCAGGCACTCACACAAAGGAATCACTGCAACAAACCACAAGATATTTGCACATTTCCTCACAAAACCAGAGGCAATTGTTTTAGAGGAAAGTGTCCCACCTCTGAAATATAACTTGAGTTTCACCTACCTGGGCCATACTTGCAGATAAAATTGTGCTTCATGTTGCATCTATCGTCATTCCATTGATAAAGGTACGGCCCTCCCAGACCAGGGTTTGCAGTTGGCTGATGATACATCACAACACAGGCTTCACTTCCACAGGAAGGCTCATCTGTATACCAGTTTCTAGGGGTACACAAAAATAAGCTTTCAGATTTTGAAACTAAGGTTCATCAGGATGCCAAAGAAAGGCTTTTACAGTAATGAAGAATGTGTCAACCCAAAAGGCCCCCTCCTCTTCAAAGATATGCTGCATTTCTCACAACTTCTCTGTGAAAGGAGTTCAGGGCCTGGACTCCACATCTTTATATTTAAAAAATAACAACAACAAAACACAACATGTTCTGACCAAAGCACCTTTGTAGAAATAACATCCCTACTGCTCTGCTACCTGTTTTCCTTCCTATCTCTTTACCCATCCCTTTGTCCCAAGCTCTGTGGGCTGCTGCTAGTCTGGCCTTTGACTTAACCAGGAAATTAAAGGCTTTTCAAAAGACAAGGTAGAAGCAGAAAAATTTACACTAAATACATGCACTAATTTACTTTGTTGCTGGCTCCCTGATTTGTGGTGGTCAGTCTTGCAGAATTTGTCTGCCTGCTTTTAGACTACATCCTAAAGATTATGTGGCAGAAAAACCACCAAAGCTATAAAGAGGTAAACTCCTGAGATGGGAGGAAAGAAAATCATAGGCTGAAGCCACACTATGCCATACTTTCACAGGTTCAAATTCAAAACCCTGGTTGCCAGCTCCCCTTTATCTGAAGAAGTTAAGGAAGGACACAAATAACTTCATCAGGCATTGAGTTTTCAAGCTTCTTTCTAGAAGACTTCACTTGCTGAATATTTCACTCTCCATTTCTTTCCATTAAACCTTGATGATAAACAGTTTGACAGACTTACCTGAATGGTGAAATACTTCCATCGGCCCACTGGTAGAGGTCAGGGCAGGCACTTGAGGTGGCAAGTCCATCACCACTTCTCCACAACCCAATCCAGAAATCACCATCAGAAATTCCTGAGCCTGACTTAGTGAGGTTTTGTAACATGTTTTCTATTAGTTGCTGCTCAGCTTCACTTTCCAAGCTCAGTAAAGCCCCACCATCAATTTCACAAGCCTGGCGGGCCTCCTGAAAGCCCACACGTCTAGACAAGTCCTGGAAATAAGCTAACTTGTAACAGGAACGCTTGAAGCCACCATAGCACACCTTTTGACCTGAAAAATATAAATATGAGAGAGTTTAAAGTAGATAACAATTAAAAAAAAAACACATCATGCATATAGTGGTGGAAAAGGACATCAGGTCTTTTTTTCTTGTACTCCTTTCTGAAAGGACTCATAGTAATCCACTGACACTGCTGAAAACCTTAGCTTTAATTAAGGTTGCAAATACACCGTTCATAGGAATCTATGGCTTTGTCCCAAGGCCTGTGAAACTCTCAAAGACACTGAAGACTCCCACTAACTTTTAGAAAAACATTCTCTACTTCAATGACTGTACCATCAGGCCCCTCTGTTAAAGCTAAGATCTGTTTGGAGAGTATTTTCTTAACTATTTCATACTAGTGGACCAACTCCACTATTATTTTGTAATCAAAGACATCTCAACAGAAAAAAAAAATGTTTAAAGTTCCTAGTTTTAGTGGCAGAAGTAGCCAACAGCTTCTTGATTCTGCTATCTAACCCTGAGAGTTAATTCTGTATTCTGAAGGACCTCATATCCAGTCATTGCTATAAATGTGTCTAAATACAACTTACAAGGGTGTGTGGAAGGAGACTGTCTGCCCCTTTAAGGGTATCTGGTCAATGACTTCAATGGAAAAAAGAATAATACCAAAAAGAAGAAAATACACAGACACAAGGTTGACAGGAAAACATAAGGGGGAAAAAAATCCCACACCAACAAACAAAATATAACCAAACCTCTTCAGACACTAACTTGAATGGAAGAATAACAAAGACAAGTTTGTGTCGTACACCTGTGGGAAAAGCTAGGCTCTGAGATCAGAAAGAGAGAACCTATTTGGACTTTGTCTGATAACATCCTGACAGCGCTGTGTATCTCCCAATCCCTTTCCTGACACTTGCCTTCATTGATATAAGTTAAGAGCTTCACTATCAATGAATGTAGTAAGAGCCATAGTTCTAGCTGGGCAATGGTGCTGAAGAATCAAGGGGCTGACCCCTCTTTGTAAGAGACACATAAAATAGTGTTTCTTCATAAGACTTCTTTGAACAAAAAGGAAAATGTCTCTATTAAAATAAAAAAAAAAAAAAATTATAAATCTAAATGTTCAAAAGTGGGAAGCACAAGAATGAAAATTGCATTTGAAATCAGAGCTCATTCCCTTCTCCTATAATGCTACAATTCAGGTTTTGTTAACACAATCATCAGCTTTTTATTTTCCCCAGGAGCTGTCTCATTGACAGGATAGTGTGTGCAGTGAAGGAGGAGCTGATCAACATTTTGATCCTCACCACTAGGTGTCAATGACTTATTGCCAGAGTACTTACGTACACAACAGTGCAAACAACCAAAGGCCAACACTGAATTACTCAGCATGCTATTCGTTTACAAGGGAACACACCTCTCCCTGGAACTAAAGATAAATAATAAATAATTCAAGATGTTTAAGAAGATTTATGGAGACTTCATTGTCCACTGTCTTGTTATTTTTATTTCCCAGACAATTTTTAAAATGAACTTTAATGATTCCTTTCATTCTGTGCACATACTCCTCCTTGAAAACAAGTAGTAAATTACAAGCAAATTCAGGTATCATAATATTACTGTCACAATTTCAGTCATGCAGGAACATTCAATCCATTGAGATAAGTGGGCTGGCCCTTTCATGGAAAACAGCTAGCTTTCCATCCATGAGACATGCATGCCTCCCCTTCCCTGTGTGTTTCTCGGGTGGCCAAACGCCCCCTCTCATGTGCAGTCTCTGCTCTTCTGTGACAATGGCAGGTGTGGCCCACCCAGCAGAAAGCTAACAAAACCCAGGGCTTGCCAGAGCAGTTTGGCACCTCACAACCATTAAGCAGCATATAGGGATTAACTGCTGCCTCAGGGTCTAGATCCTTAGCTTGTTTTCGCCCTGGGCTTGCCCTCCAAACAATTAGAACAACCACAGTACACCCTCCAGTCGGGTGCAAATAAAACCCTGCCAAAGAACCACTTGAGTAGGTTCTTCACAGAGCAAGCAAGTCTGGCAGTCAGATTTCCCCCTCAGATACACAGTATACTATCCAAGGATACTTCTGCAGATTGAGCCAGTCACCATGGACTGAATCAGCCTCACCCCTTTTCAGGCAAGTGATACCTTTGGGTACCCTTGTGTGGGAGGTTCTCTTTATAAGTGAGTGTCCACACATTTTGGTTCATCTTTCTAGAAATAATAATCCTTAAAGTTTAGGATTTTGTTGTGTAGTTATATTCCCAACTGGCATCCAAGATTGTAATTTAATTTTGTCAGATAGAGTGATGGGCAATTTTGGTTGCAATAAATCTGCATTTTTTGATAGCTTCTGCTCTGTTTTGCAAGTGCCTTTGTGAAATCAGCTCTTCCAAAACCTGAGTCAAATGACCTCTTCAACAATGGGCCCTTGCCAACTACCTGACCAAGCCTCTGATACATGCCCAGTAATAGCTTGCCACTGTTGTACACTCAGAGCAGTAACCCCTCTGTATTCCTGCAGATAGAGATGTGAAGGTCCAATCTCTACACAAGGGTTTATCTGAAAGCATTAGCGAGTTAAAAATCTTGCAGCTGCGTGAAGTTGAACTGTGTGAACTGTCTAAAGTGATCTGAATAATTTTTTACAATATCATCATTAATTGCAGATGTGTGTAAGGTTTAACTTGAATCTCAAATAACCCAATACTATAAAGTGGAATAATTGAACAAATGAAGATTTGCATACAATCCCATTCCTAAATTACTTCTTTCATTTGTCAGTCTCTACACCTGTGGCAAAAGAAATAAATTGTCTTCTTACAGCCTGATCATTTGTGCAAGAATATACCTCTAGAAGCCAGATAAAGCAGTAAGAAACCAAGAAATATTGGCATCAAGACCTATGCAGTGTGAATGAAACGTGATGCATAGTAAGCATTCTGGAAGAAGCTGTGATTTTTTTTTTTGTTGTTCTAGTTAATTTAGTTCGTGTTTAGGCAATGACCTGCTCTGAATCTTTTCTTTCTTCTTTTGAAGGGGACGTTTTTCTGCTGTAGCAGAGCTAGTTCAATGTGTTAATGGAAATCTGCAGTTGTGTCTTAATAGCTAGTAAATCAGTTGACACATTAATGCTCTCCTTGGAACATGCTGAGATGTCAAGTTTTCAAGCTTCATTTTTTTTACAGCTTTCTCTCACTACTAATTTCTGAACTACAAAGCAGAGATAGTTTACTGTTGAAAAAGATGGAATGGACCACACTGTATAGCAGACAAGATAAGTATGGAAACATTAACTACGGGCTATTTTACCTTCTTCTAACATCCTTCCAGCAGACAAGATTCCAGTCTTCATTCTAAAGCAACATTTGCTATTTCAAATGTATAAAGTGAATTCCAATTTTTCTGTCACAATTTACTAGAAACTAGATTTGTACACAAACCACACAAATGTAGTGGAATGAATCAAGCTAAGATATTATGTTACATGAATAAATATAGGCAAGTTAGGCCTTTACAACCTTTCCACAAAATCTGCCCCGTGTTCTTGTGAGATGAAAGATGAAGGAAAACATTGTTTCATCACAGGGTATCCAGAAAGGGAAAAGAAGCATGTACTTAGTCCTCCCTTCAGCATGAGACCAAAGAGCTAACTACTTTAATAATAATTAAGAACTCATTCTTACCATTTTCCCTTCCTCTTACTGTTTTCCCTTATTCAGCTCAGACAAGGTAAAGTCTCCACCAACCCTACCTGACTATCTATGGATGTGAAGTTCTCATACGTTTTCTCTCAGGTAGTGTATCAGCTCCTTGACCCACTCTCCTGCATCCAAGGAGAATGACCCAGACCCAGGTCAGAATTAGGCACAGAAACAGGCAAAACAGGCACTGGGGTTGGTGTCATAAGCCCAGATCTTACCTTTCTATGAACAATTGCTTTCTTGCCTGTTGAGGGAAGAATGCCCTATTGAAGCAACTACGAACTGACAAAGGCTTTTCTCCCAGTTGCAGAACTGCAAGATTAGGTCTTCCCAGTTTCCTTAAAGGAAATGTCTCCAGGTTTCTTCTTTCTGCCCTTCCTGTGTATACCAGATGTACAGCTCTGGCCCAGATGCCTCAGCCTTAGCAGCTCTGGTTTCCTGCTGCAGAGAATCTGAACTTACTGCAATTCCCTTGCACTCACCATCACACTAGCTAAAGAAAGGAAGTGTGTAGCACTTGTCTTAAAAAGTGCTAGCTACCCTTTCCATTCATATGGATCAATTTTCATCCTTGGGTGACACAGCAGCTCCACAATAGAATGTTTCAATATCAACATTAAGTATTAAGTATTTTAACTAAAAGCCATCTTTGTTTTAGTTAAAACATTTCTGCAGATAATTCTGAAGGGGAAAAAAAAATATCCTTAAAGAAAGAGAAACAAGCAAATTCTCAGCTGGCATTTCAATTACGTTTCCATTATGCTTTAATAATGATGCTTCATTAAACAAAAGTAATAGGTTTCTTTAGGTCATGGACAAAAGTTACAGCAAAATGTCACTTAGAAACAAAATTACTGATAAAGTACCCAGCTCAAAGACTCATCTTCTTAAGATCAAGCTCAGTCCTAACTATACCCCCATGGTCTGTAAAGGGCACAAAGGTTATCTTGACTAACACACATGACTCAGATGGAGGTATTGAAGGTGTCAGGTAAGAGATAAGCTCCCTTCTGTTAAATCCCATCCCTCCACCTCTTGAATCTCAAGCTAAGCTACAATCCATAGTCCACTACCGTTAGCATCCACCTACATTAGTGGTGAGCAACAGCTGCATGTGCACAGCACATGTGAGGACAGAACAAAGGAATGCACAGTGCTGCAGAAAAGTCCATTATGTTTTCATACTTTTTGCTTCCCAAGATAATGGATTCAGCAGAAAACACAGAGCAGTATTGGGTACAAAGGAATGTGAAATGCCTAATACTAACCCAAGTCCCAAAGATCAGCATAAGGCTGATGGAGGCCTCTGAAATCAAAGTAACAAAATAAAGAC